TCCGGCCCGACCTAATATTAAACTTAAAATGAGTTATGTGATTATGTTCATTTGAATAAATTTTTTGATTTAATCATGTATAATTGTGTTTTAAAATATAAAAGAAAGGGAAAAAATACCATCTTGTAGGCCCATTGTTCATTTAAATAGAAAAAAAAATACTATCTGAATTTTTAATTCTAATTTGAATAAGAAAAATTATTTTTTTTCAAATAGGTCGGGCTTTGGGCTTTTTATCAGGGCCGGGCTTGGGCCCAAGTTATAGGCCCGTTGGTTGGGCCGGGCTCGGGCTCGGGCCTAGTATATTTTCATTAGTGACAAGTGAAAGCCCGGCCTGAGCCCGGCCCGACCCGGCCCATGAACAGGTCTACTCCTATCCAATTATTCGGATTTGTTGAAATTACGGGAATCTCCTTCCTACAAACAGTTATATTTATAGATAATTAGGGGTGATCATTTCAATCCGATCCAGTCCGACTCGGAAATTTTGGATTTTGTGTTTAGGTCCGACCCCGGGCCCATATCAGGCCTGTAAATTTTAGGGCCGAATTTGGGCTTAATACTTCAAGCCTAGCCCGGGCCTAGCTCAGTCCGCATATATTTAAACTTATACATTTTGTGTATAATGTATACATATATATACATGTTTTTTTATATTATATATATAAATGTTATAACATGACATGTATAATTTATATTATATGTAATATTTATATATTATATAATGTATGAAAGAAATTTATATGCATGTTATGTCATTTAATATATAGATATGTAATGTTTTATATACGAGTGGCATAAGTTCGAAATCAGGCCCGGCCTGGTCTGGGCCCGCATAGACTTAGGCTAGGGCTTATGTTTTAGGCCTGAAACCCCGGGCCAGGTTGGGCTCAGGCCTAAGTTATGGCCCTTATCATAAGTGCAAAGCCTGGCCCGGCCCATGATCATCCCTATACATTACAAAAAATGACTTAACTTTCTCATTTGGGCGAATTTGAAAAGGCACCTAAGAGAGGGGTGCCTAAGCTTAACTCCTTCTTGAAGGGAAGGGAGATCCATCATATGGATGGCCGAACCATGCAGGGTGGCTGGGCGAAATTTCAAAAAATTTATTTCTCCCTTCTAGGAATCGTATTCCAAATTTTAGAAAAACTGCATTTTTCTGGAATTGTTCTTGAAACAAATCAGACCAGATTTGAAACCAAAATAAGAGAGAGCAATACCTGATACGGAATCCACACGTGTAGCTCCCAAAGTAGGTGTTTACGCACAAAGAGTGCACCAAAACCCTCTTGCATTGAAGATGGCGTAGCTTGAGATGAAACAGGATCAGCAATGTTGTCCTTTAGCAGGAACTACAATCCTTTCGCAAGGATTAGGCAAGGGAGTGTGAGCACAATTCAGATATGAATTTTCTAGCAAAAATCAAAATCAAGATTTAATCTTGATCAGTCCAAGAACTGGAGACCAGGCAAGGGAGTGTGAGCACAATTTAGAAGTAATGCAGTTTGTTCCCTCTATTTATAGCCTTTCAAGGTCAGCTTTCCTAATCTTATTAGGAAAGAGTTCTTTGATCCAAATCTTTGTTTGGATCTAAACTCTTAAGTGGATAAGACTTATCTTATCCTCTTGTTGATCCAAATCTAGATCTAAACCTAGATTCACCCATATTGATTAATCATATTAACCTAGTTTGATATTGGCTTCAGACCCATTAAATTATAAGGCTCACTTCCCTTTTAATTGTTGGCTGACTTGGCTCTCTTTGTATGGTGTGGGACCCTAACATTGATCTTCAAAAAAGCCATATGGGTTCAGCCTAACTTCTGTTACAAGGCCTCACTGTTGAACACAATGAACCCCTGAGCCCATCAGTATGGGCTTTTAGCAGGCCCAACATTTATACTAAATGGTCATTGGGTCCAGCGACCTTATGAAGGCCTAAGGACTTTGGTCTTAAGTGAGATTAGTCCATTAAGTATAAAAGTCCTAAATGGTCTTACACTCAATCTCTCCTCCCTTAATGATCAAACACTACCCGACAAGAGAGGACCTCTCCCTCGGCTGCAAGGTACAACGTTGCATTCTCTACTTGGATGGATCCCGGGAATTAAAACCTTTGCAAACCTTTTCATAAAACATAATAATCTTTATATAAATATATTTTACAAAACAAATCTCAAACAAGTTTGAAATCAACTCCCGGAAGTTTAGGTTTCAATCAGAGAGAGTGTTATCCCCAATCACTTACTTTGTCCGACAAAGGGGTTGATTCTGTTACTATGATCACCCACTCAGATGAATTTTCAGATTGCCCCAACATACCTAGGTTTTGACCCCCGCTAAGGATCTCACTGATTGACATATCAAAGACAGCCCAATCCAACACCTAGTGCAGTACCATAATCGAGTGTAGGGGTCAGGTATACTTTCCAGTTTTGCCCATCTGTCTCCTAGGTCCAGGGCATAACTAAAAAATGGTCTGGTTTAGAGTTTCAAGCAAACCCACACTGCATGTGCTTCGAGTCTAACCCTAGCAGCTGAGACAAATCACCCCAACCAACTTAGCAGCACATTAGTGTCAGCCTTGACAGGATAAACTTCCCTAAGTCTATCCAACGGCTGAGAACATTCTAAACTAACACGGGTCTCATAAGTGTCCAGTTTAAGGGTAATTAAACATAAACATACCAGATATAACATGAATCAATTATGTACTTTTATGCATTTACAATAAATGTCAAATGTACATCAATCTGATTGGAGCTAAGGGCATACATTTACAATCAATTATGTACTTTTTTAGTTATCTTGTTTTGTTTCTTGCTCATAAGAGTCGTTGAACATAAATTTTCTCATCTAGCCCTCAAATTGGATGTTGGGAGCATCAAGTTGTAATGTTGATCGGGGTAATGCTCCTCTTCTTCACGCAACCAAGTTATATAAAGGGAGTTCTTTGAGGGTTGCATTTCCTATTACTATTTTTGACATTAATTTTATTTTCTTTTCAAAGTAACAACATAGCATAGCTAAAAATGGCTTGTTTAAATGACTGAAGAAGGGTCTTCAAGCACTATCCCAATGGAGTAGGAGTAGGGGTGGATTCGAGCCGGGTTGATCCGAATAGTTATTCGAACTCGTCTCGCCAAGGTAGTACAAGGCTCAAGCTCAAGCTCGCGCTCAGTTCGAGCTAGAACCTTGAGCTCGAGCTTGGCTCAAGCCAAAAGCTCGTAAGCTCAACTCAGCTCAAGCTCGACTTGAGAAAAATGCTTTATAAAAATAAAAAAATTATATATAAAAATAATTTTTATTTGATAATTAAAAAATTAAGAATTATAATAATTAGTAATTATTATATATAAAAATAAAAATATTATATATAATAATTTTATTATATTTATTATTTTCTACAATTTTATATTATACATATTTAGCTATTCGAGCTGATCTTTATTAGGCTCGAGCTTGACTCAATTAATAAATAAGCCTATAAATTGGGCTCGAGAAAACCACCTCAGCATAATTAGTTTTGAAAATTATAATTTAATAATGAAATCATAAGGCATATACTGTATATTTAAGTAAATAACCTTTCGTTTTTTTCTCAAAATGGGGACGGCAATCAAAATTATTCACACGGCACGGAGCACGATTCTGTCGAACGACTTGCCACGACGTGCTTTTAGAGCTAAAACCTAAAACCAGGAAATCAATAGTCTTCGATCGAAGGTCATCATCTACGGTTTTAAGCCCAGCCCTGTGCTAAAACCATGTTGTATCAAAAATTAAGCTCACGGTTCGGTTGGGTGGCTACCTTTGCAATTTAGCTAACCGATCGTCTACTACTAGTAGACTCATAGTGAACAGCCGGTAATGCAATGTACGTGGGCTCATCCTAACCGCTTCTCACCTTTGTTGTAGCTTAGCTTTTCCTTCGGTAAGTAGTAAATGCCATGAAAATGAAACAGCCCCAAAAACTTAAGGCTCAGTCTGGAAGAGTATAAATACAAAAATGCAGAGTGAAAAGTTTATATTTTGTATATTTATATTGTATATATTTATAAATGATTAAATGCTGAAATACCTTCTGCTTTAGTTTTTAGTTTTCTAGAGGACCGGACCGGACCGGACCCATCTCAAAGAAAAAGAAAAATTCGCGCTGAACATCAAACAACGTGTGATGGGAACCGGTTGGTCCGGAAGTATCACCGTATTCACATCTTCAGTTGAACCCGGTGGTACCCTACCACCAGTTGACCCGAAATGGAAAGAAATAAACATACACCGTACGATCGACATCTAACCACCCATCAATACCCAAAATCGTCCTGCCGGCTAGAAGAAGTTTCCACCTCCGGCCGGGATCCACCGGCATTATCTTGTAATCGGCTCCTTATGCAGACTCTACTTTCTTGCAAAGAAAGAAAGAAACAAATGACAAGTAAGTATAAATTAGTCACAAGCGCGTAGAAAGGGACCAGAAGGGGGACTCTCTCTTTAATCTGTTTTCGCAGCGCGGACGTTTTGATTCTCGAAAGGACGAAAGATATGCATCTCTACAATGCTTGGCTTCCTCCACCAGTTGCAGAAGAAACGAAGAGAGAGAAGGAATCATTTGCTTATGTTGTGAGGTCTGTAAAGGAATCGTGGCGACCTGACGATCCCGAATCTGTTTATTCAACTCTCAAATGGATCTCTGTCATCGACATGTGAGTTCGAATTAATTTTTCTGTTGCCTTTCAATTTTAGCTTCTGGTTCATTCGAAGGTTAAATTTCGCAATTGGCTTCAATTCTGACTTCCTTTTGGGTTTTGAGCTCGTTGTCGTTTTTGATTTGATCGTGGATTGGTTATATTATAGCTTATCCTTGGGAGAGTTTTGATCTAAGGTTTTATGTTATTATGTGTTTTATTATGTGTTAAACTCTTACTTATGCAAGTTGAATTTGGAGTTGTTTGTTTTGTACTTCCACTTACTTAAGTTTGTTTTTATTTGGTCTCCGATTCTATTACCATCAGCTGAGTTCTTATAATGATCACCATTCTCTGGAATTCAGTAAAGCTAAGATGAAGTTTGGTTATATCGTGTCAATGCAAACTTACGTTGGGGTTTAATAAGTTCATACTTCTTTCTCGCTTAATTCTGAAAATCTTTTTTTGGTTTTCAAATGATGTGTAATTACTCTGTTTTCAAGAGCCTAAACTTTGCTTCGGTTGAGTTTCCAAATGATTGAATGCGGTTTCATCTAATTTCAATACGAGGCTTCGTTATATTTTGTCAGACGACATGCTCATGAGCTACATTAACCTTTCAAAAATAACAAAGAAAAAGGAGGAGAAAAAGAAGAAGAAAGAATTAGGTTGAACTCTCATTTATTTCATCCTTGCAGTTCTTACGTCCTCTGTGGCTTGTATACGATTATTTTGTTCCTTCTTCCTTTTGTTGCTCCATCTTGATACATTATACTGTCGATGTTAGCCTTTTGTCTTTGGTGAACTGTTATATTATTTTAATCTGAATCATATTATTCTCAATTCATTACATATCTGATGTTGAGAAATTCAAACTTCTGCTCAACTTGTTATCCTTTACATTATTTTAGAGCATCCTATTTTACTCTTCTTATTTATAGATAATGGATATTGTTCTAGAAAAGGGAATACAACATAGCCCCTTGCAAAGACTGGCCATTTGATTTACAGCTGAAGTGGCTGAACTGAACGATTTATTGCTTTGTCTTTTTGTTAACAAGTTTTTAAGGAGATTGTAAGCTCCTTGATGGCTGAAGCTGAAGGGTGTGTTGATTACCATACCTTTCAATTTAGCCACTTTGTCTGTTATCAAACAACCATGTTTATTAGAAACCACCACATACACAAGCATCTACATACAAAAATGATGAATCAGATAAAACGTTGGTTCATCCCTCTTGAATGGCATGCTTGAGTTAGTTGAAACCAATGAGGTTCAGAACTGTTTAACCAAGAGGAAATCCAGAAAAAGAAGAAAGAAAAGAACAGAGATGGAAGAGAAGAGGAGAGAGCAGAGAAGAAAGAATAGAAGAAAAGGGGTCCAGAAATTTAATCTGAACTGCCGCCCCAGGTGAAGAGATCAGCTTTAAAAGAGATACAATGACAGGAATACCCTTGTCGCTAATATCAACTTTAAAACACATGCTAACAACAATATAACAGCAATATATCATCAAAAAATAATAAAGATGTGGGACCACAGGTTGATCAATCATTTTTTTTACACTTCTCCTCAAGTTGGGAAAAGATATTTGTCATTCCCTACTTGCTTAAATCTGTGTCAAGCTTGATTTTAGTGACTGCCTTGGTGAAGAGATCAGCAAGCTGCTTATCAGAGTTTACATAAGGAAGGCATACTTCTTGAGAGGCAACTCTCTCTTGGATGAAATGTTTGTCAACTTCAATGTGTTTGGAAAATGGAAACATGGTACCTTAAGGGGTGGGAATCCATAGGGATGAAGATTGTGAAATAAAGGCAATGTTCTCAGGTCCTTTGTGATAGGGGACTCAAAAAGGGTAGAAGTTATTAGCTCTTCTTCAAGGATTGCAGTTGGCAAGGGACCTAAAACTGAAAAATTTACTCATCGAAGGAGACTCAAAGGTAGTGATAGAGGGGTTGAAGAATGATAAAAAATCATTGTGGGCCTATAGTGGTGAACTTAAGAAGCTTAAGTGACTGACTAGGGGTATTTAGGTGAAAATTCAAGGCATAAAAAAGGTTGGCTAATGTGATGGAAATTGTACTAGCCAAGCAAGAATAGGGGTCAATTATATTGGGCCATGTTGTAACATGAGAAAACATTTTGGATAGGGTAGGACTAGGATCCTCTACCCTTTCCAAGGGGCACATGTAATTTATGTACATTTCTGTTGGTATTTCAGTTACTTATAATAAAAAAACCTTGTCATGAGCTGTAAATTTAATAATTGGAAATCTAAATACATAAAAAATGAAGTGATTAGGCAGATTTTTGTTTTTTAGTTGACCAATTCTGAAAGAATAATAATAGATTGTGTTTTTTTTTTTTTTTTTTGTGTCTAACATCCAAGAAAACAAAAAGGGACTCAAGCATGAAAAGGGGGGATGGCTTGAGTTGAAATTTGGCATTTTGACTGGTTGGTGGAATGGCACAATTACACAGTGAGGGATTGGTGGTTTACACAAGAGTTGTGTTTAGGATTCAGCAGTTGTAGCAGGAATATTCTAGCATGGGGAAATTCTTCCAACAATAGGAATTAAAAAGCAACAAACAGAGTGACATTTATAATCTGCTCTCTATTTCTTCTTTTTTTCTTTCTCTACATTTCTATTAATCTTTGGTGGTCCTCTTCTCTTACAACTTGTATTTTGCACAAGAACACTATAATTTTTTTCCAATGTTCAATATGTCTCATGTATTATTCTGTACGATTGTAATGCTTTTATATGCATTTAGACATTTTATTTGTATATTTGCTCTCAATGTGGAATGTTGCAAATGTTTTTTTATTTTATTAGTAATTGTCCACTTTATTAACAAATGAATGAAAGAGTGGTTCATACAACATACATAAGTGTGCCTGGTGCCCCTCCAAATGGGCATGCCCTTGCTGCCTATTTGTATATTACTATTTTCTTTATCCCCTTGTGTAATCACCCACCTAAAAAGTGTTGGTCTCTGTTAGTTCCTTGTTTTGTCMGCATATCAGTCAAATTATTGGTTGATCTATCTCTCCAATTAAAAGTTTCCCTCATCTCCTCATATATTCTTCTTGCCTCCCTTATTGTGTGTATCCATGGGTCTGTGTTGTTTTTCTTTTAAACCACTACACTACTATTTTGGAATCCTCTTCTACCACTAGATTGTTATAGTGTAATGACTTACCAAACCTCAAACCTTGCAATACAGCCATTCTGCCATAATGGAGTTATCAATTGAGTTTTGTTTTGGAAAATATGTATTCACATGTTGTCGATAGAGGGAGGCATTAATAAGTAAGGAACCTTTTGACTTGGACAATTTAACATTCAGCTCCAAGGGAGTATCAACCTGTTTATCATCAGTAAGGCCGGCCAACTTAACAAGATCAGAGGCATACTTGTGTTGGCAAATGAAATATCCGTGGTGACTCCTTTGAACTTCAAGTCCTAAGCAATAGGTAAGAGGACCCAGATCCTTCTGTGAAAGGAACTGTGAAAAAGAGACTTGAGGTCCTAAATTCCCTCTATATCATATCCAATCAACATGTCATTCACATACAAGAGGAAAATTGTAATAACTTGGGATCTTTTTTGATCAAAGAGAGAGTAATTAGAAGTACTCTGGTTATACCCAACTTTCAGAACAACACCTCTAAATTTTTCATACCATAGTCGAGGAGCTTGCTTCAACTCATAGAGATATTTCTTCAATTGACAAACGGGGGAAGGATCACTACAATACCTCGAAGGGGGTTTCATATATATTCTCTTTTTTATATGCCCATGTAGAAAAACATTTTTCACATCTAACTGAGAGATAGTCCAAGAGTGTGTTGCTGAGAGGGCTAAAAGAACACTAACTGTAGTGTTCTTGGCCATGGGAGCAAATGTCTTCTCATAGTTAATGCCATACTCCTATGTATAGCCCTGAGCCACAAGCTAATCTTTGTATCATATTTCAACTTGATGGAATAGACCCACTTGCTCCCAATAATAGAGCTATTTGAAGGAGCTAGGACAAGGTTCCAAGTGGCATTCTTGTGCAAAGCTTGAATCTCTGCATTCATGGAATCTCTCTAGTGAAGATTGCTAATGACCTGCTGATAAGAGCAGGAAATATCTGTAGAAGACAAAACAACAAAAAAAGGAACTATGGTTTGAAGGAAAACCATAGTGATCATGTGGTTTTGAGATACAGGAAGATTGACGCAAAGGAATAGAAGGAGCAATAGAGGGATCTCAAATAGGAGTGTCACTTACAAARTTGTTTGGGATGGATGAAGGATTTGGACCGAGAGGAAGGGGGGGGGGTCATTGGTGCATGCACTAGACCACAAACTTGCTTGCGAGAGAATACGGGAAGATCTTCACAACAATTGAAGACTGAGCTATTAGACAGTGTATGCCCTTAGCTCTAATTAGATTGATGTACACAAACATTTATCAGTAAATGAATAAAGTACATAGTTGTTTTATGTTAAATTGGTAAACTGGACACTAAATTGGTACACAAATATTCACATGTTTGTTATACGCATATAATATATGAATATATTAACAGATATTTTGATCCCTGAAAATCAGGATAGAAGCGATGAAATTAAGACCCCTAAAACTACTAAAACTAGTTAAGATTCATTCTAAACCAAACACCGAGGCTTAGACTGTTCTTGTCCCACATCACTTTTGTTAAGGGATATGCCCACAGTGAAGGTCCTGTAGGTCTGGGGTTTTGAAAGGTGGAAGTGACAATGGAACTATCCTGGCCTGCCTAATGGGAAGATTGAGGGAAGTCTGCAACTGAATACCAGTCAAGGAAGCATGTAGTCTCCCTTGGAAATGGTGCAAGTGCCTGAAAGGGAATATTCGGAACTGGGGTTTTTCTCTCAGATCAACTTTCTTTGCTTCTTTGTCATAACTCTCCTGTCGTAACTCTACTTTTTTTCCTCTTGTCCTGTCTTTGGGATAGGGTCCCCTATTTATAGCTGTCCTGGAAATTTCTGGACTTCAGAAGCTTCTGATGCTATTTTATTCCTTGTTTTGTCTTTATTTGAGAGCCTTTTAAGAAGTCATGACAAACGTATCATAATGGGAATTTTTGTTTGTCAGAGAGGGCACAATTAACATCAGCTCACTTGGTTAAAAGGTATCATGTGAGGGATGCAGTACAAGGTCGTGCCATTCCCAATCCCACATGTCCTGTAGACATATTTGGTTATTTCTGTTGTCAGTGCCTTTTTTTTTGCATCTTAAGTGTGGTTCGGAGACAATAAGGTTGCTCCTTCGCACACGTGATGGCATTAAGATAATCGTTTCACACTTATACTTACGCTCAGCAATGGTCTTTTGCACGTCTATTCTCTTACACAAGTTAGGTAATTAACTGTAAGGATTTTTCAAGGTAGTCAGTCCTTGTGGGAAAAACCATTCCCATAAGTCTCTCTCTCTCTCTCTCTCTCTCTTTCTCTCCATTATATTATGTGTATCTTTTGGGGGAGAGGGCAGAATCTATCAGAAGTTTTGGGTGCATTGAATGAATCTTTGTCTAAGAAGCCTTTGCAGGATTGCCAATTTCATGTGGAAATTTTATTCCTTTCTGTTTGGAATGAGTGTGTTTCAGCCTAAACTACAGCAGAGCTGTTCTCTTCCTAGCCAAGAATTAATGGTTGCGAGAAAGCAAAGATTGTGTGGAGTTGTATCCCTTTTGCAGTCTGCTGGGTCATTTGGAATGAGAGAAACAGGAGACTATTTGAGAATAAACATAAGAGTATTGGTAAACTGATATCTATGGTTCAGAATTTGGTGTCTGATTGGATTCTGGTGCATCCAGAATTTCAGCAGACTAGCAGAGCAGAACTGGGACAGAATTTCTGGAATATTCTTGAGTTATAGACTTGTAATCTCAATCAGTTCCTTGTTTCTTAAATTGTCTCTTGTAGTTTTGGCTTTTTTGTTAAGGCTATGGTGGGGTGTTATCTTGACACCCCTCCGATTGTATGACTTATTTTTTGTTAAAATGAAATTTTTTATTTTGATTCTTCAAAAAAAAAAAAACTATTCTAGCCAAAGGCAAACCTGACATTTGCACTTGTTCCAACCAACTAAGTCAGAATATTTCTTTAGATTATTTATCAGAAAAAAGAATGTTTCTTTAGATTGAAGCTATATTTTTATGACGCTTATGGGAAACCTGGTTTCTTGGCTGTGCTTATATACATGGAGATTGACATGCAATGGTATTTACCTGCTCTTTATACTGTCTGCAAAAAAGTCATCCGGTTAAGTCCATAGGCATTCTGGGAACGTAGAGCTTTGTGCCTTAGAGTAAGAAATTCCTTCTTGGATGTATATTATTGTGGTGCTTGTTTGGTATTATCCATGCTTTATAATTAATTATCCCTACTTATAATTGGCATCATTTGCTAAACTTTGTATGTAGAGAAATGGAGGCAAAGTAGTTCTTATTGCTAATATCTCCAAGTTTGAAGCCATACATTTTTTTTTCTATTTTTCCAAGTTGTATATGTTTATTTTTTTTTTCCTGCAGCTTTGTGAAGGCAAAAAGTGAAGTGTCTTTGGAGGATGTGACCACACTTGTGGAACTTGGGTTGGAATTGTTTCTTGCATCACAGAACAAACTGTATGCTCAGGTCAGACCATGGGAGGAATATTATAGCATGATATAACTGTTTATGCTATTTTATATATGAAGTTGTTGATTCTTTGGCTAAACCGGCATTTTATTTACTTCACTTTGATTAGGTTAGATGGGGAAACATCCTAGTGAGGTTACTAAATAAGCATGGAAAGAAGTTGTCCTTTAAGGTTCAATGGCGACCTTTCTATGACACTTTAATGCATACACACTTTACAAGGTGAGTTTTCATTTACCTTTGACTTTGAGTATATTGCACTAGGTTCTCTAAGTTAATCAGATTGTTTTAGACTCTTTTATGCTCTTAAAAGTGCAACTTTACATGGATCTTCATGCTTAAATCTAACAACTCTTGCAGACAAGACTATTAAAGAAACTATCAGACTTCACCCTTTCTCAAAAAAAAAAAAAAATAGAAACTATGAATTTACTTTTTTGGTAAGGGCAGCCTAGTGCACGGGGCTCACACCAATATGCGGGGTCTGAGGAGGGAGGAACAGATATCTGCAGCCTACCCCTGCACATACAGAGAGGCTGTTTCCAAGATTTGATAGAAAAGAAAATTTATTAAGAAAAAGAAGAAGAATGCAAAATATCTAGGGGCCCGTTTGCTCCAGGTGCGACAAGCCAAAAGAAACTTGCTTGTTGGGGTGTAGTTTGAGAAAGACCCAATCCCCCACCTGATACTCCACATCTTTGTGCCTGTGGTCATAAGCCTTTTTCATTAGTTGCTGAGCCTGCAGTAAATTTGCCTTAAGTTCCTTGAGGATGGAATTCCTCTTCAGTAGGTGTTCTTCTAGGGTAGCCACTGATATAGAGCCCTATTCATATGGAATAATAGGGGGGTGGATCTCGCCCATACAGGGCTTTGAAGGGACCTGATGCTGCATGATAGGTGGTGTTGTATCACCACTCAGTCCATGGCAACCACTTCATCCATGATTCTGGAAGGCCCCCAACAAGCATTGCATATAGGTCTCTAGGCACCTGTTCACAACTTCCATTTTCCCATCAGTCTGCGGGTGGTAGCTGGTGGATTTCTTCAGTTTGGTGCCTTGCAGTCTAAAAGACTCCTCCCAGAATTTGCTCATAAACACTGGGCCCCTATCTGAAAAAAATTGAATTGGGGGTTCCATGGAGCTTCTTGACAAAGGCCTTGGCAACCATGGAAGCACTATAGGGGTGTGGCAAGCCCACAAAATGACCATACTTGGCGAATTGGCTGCAACATAGCTGCCCTTCTACTTTCTTCACCTTGAACCAAAGAGTAAGCATCTGGAAGAGTGACACCATTGTTACTAAGAATATGCTGTTGAGTAAACCCATATTCAGGAATCAAACTAGTTAAGAATTCAAAGATCTAGAGCTTCTCATTGTGCTTCCATGAAAAGAATCTTTCACTCAAGTGCCTCAAGATGATCAATTTCCTCTGAAGCTGATGTACTCTAGCAGTGTTGTGAACTTGGGAGTAAGTAGCAGAAACTCTATTCCATATGTATTTTGTAGCTAAAGAGGAGTTTAGCTAGAAGCAAAAATCGAGGTGTAAGTGGATCAAGGAGGGTGATAGGAACACGAATTTTTTTCACACCCTAGCAAATGGGAGAAGAAGTAAAAATTTCGTTTCCAAGTTAGAGGTGGAGGGTGCCACCTTAGTTCATCAAAATGAAATAGTAGAGGCTTTTGCAAATCATTTTAGATCAATTTTTAGGAAGCCTCTGAATCCTAGTGCGGATTGAAGGTTTGGAATGGCCTAGGCTGAATTCTGAGGTGAGAGTTTGGTTAGAAAGAAAGTTTGAGTTGGAAGAAATCCAAGAGGCAGTTTTCTCTATGAATTGCTCCAAAGCTCCAGGTCCAGATGGGTTCACATTGGCCTTGTATCAGGACTGTTGGGATATACTAAAGGAGGACATCGTGGGAGTCTTTGAGGAATTCTACAGAAGGGGAGTAATTAATCCTAGCTTGAACTCCACTTTTGTGGCCTTAATTCCCAAGAAGCATGGTTTGAAATGTCGATGTCGGTGGAAATGTCAGTCATCCAAATAAAGAAACATGTTGGAAATGTCGGAAATATCGTATGAAAATATTGTAAAAATTATAGATATGGTGGAAACATTGTAAAATGTGCAAAATATAGAATGTTATTTTATGAAATGATAAAATAAGCATAAGCACACCTTTTTAAATTATTATCTTATTCTAAATCATTGAACAAAGATAAGAAACTAAGGTTATAGATAAAAGAATATATTCTAAAGTTGCCCTATAAACCTTAAGATTCGGAGCTTCATGATAGAATGAGTCAAAGAAAAATTTGAACTCATAGAAAATGTAAATGGTTGTAATAGATTAACCAAATAATCTATTACACTAGATATGGTGGAAACATTGTAAAATGTGCAAAATATAGAATGTTATTTTATGAAATGATAAAAGAAACATAAGCACACCTTTTTAAATTATTATCTTTTTCTAAATCATTAAACAAAGATAAGAAACTAAGGTTATGGATAAAAGAATATATTCTAAAGTTGACCTATAAACCTTAAGATTTGAAGCTTCATGATAGAATGAGTCAAAGCAAAATTTGAACTCATAGAAAATGTAAATGGTTGTAATAGATTAACCAAATAATCTATTACACAAACAAAAACTAATATTTAACTTTATATCTGAAATGAATATTGAGTTAGCTCAAAGTGGTAATCATATAAGTTAGGTGGACAATAACTTGCTACTTCACATACCTACAATATTGTTACCAAATTATGTTATAATACTATCTCTTGTACTCCACACAGTATTGGTAGTGTTCAATGGGGAATATGTCAATTCCAGTAAAATTTCATGTTGTTACCCATGGAAGTGGAAATGGAAGTATGTCGTGGAAACTATCTCTTGCACTCCACATAGTGTTGGTGTTCATTGGGGAAATGTCGATTCTAGTAAAATTTCGTGTCGCTACCCATGGAAATGGAAATATTAGGGAAATTAGGGACATTTTAAACCATGCCAAGAAGAAAGATGCCATTCCGCCAAGAGATTTCAGGTCGATCAGCTTGGTGAATAGTCTTTATAAGATCATAGCAAAGGTGATGGCTTGTAGGATTAGGAAAGTCCTCCCCAATATTATTGAACCTAACCAAGGAGCTTTTGTCGAGGGAAGACAGATTATTGACCAAATTCTGATAGCAAATGAAAGTGTGGAGGATTTCAAAAGATTGGGGAAGAAGGGTGTGGTATGTAAGTTGGACTTGGAAAATGCGTATGATTTAGTGGATTAGTCATTTTTTCTCCAGGTAATGCTAAACTATGGTTTTGGAGAGAGATGGTGTATGTGGGTGATGGGGTGTGTTAGGTCTTGTCACTACTCCATTTTGGTGAATGGGACAGTGGTGGATTTCTTCCCAGCTCTAAGAGGAATAAGGCAAGGAGATCCCCTATCTCTGTTTTTGTTTACTTTGATAGTAGATGTCGTGGGAAGACTGGTCTCTAGAGCAGACTCGAGGAACCTAATAAAAGACTGGAGAGTTGGTAAGGATGGGGTACCTTTAACTCATCTACAATTTGCGGATGATACAGTCCTCTTTTGTGAAGCAGGTGATTGCAGAGATGGTTTAGGAATTTGAAACTTAGCWTACAACTGTTTGAGCAAATGTTGAATCTAAAAGTGAACCTTGACAAAAGCTGTATAGTAGGGGTAAACTTGTAGGAGAGAGAGGTGGAAGAAGTGTGCAGACATTTTAGTGTGTGTAGTGTCCAATTGGCCAGTGAAGTACTTGGGGTTGCCTCTCGGGGATAATCCAATGAGACAAAACTTCTGGGATTTGGTGGTAGAGAGATTTGAGAAGCGGCTAGCCTCTTGGAAGAGGAATTACTTGTCCTTGGGAGGGAGAGCCACATTGGTAAAATCTACCCTTGCTAACCTTCCAATATATTTTTTGTCAATTTTTAAAATGCCAGGGAGGATTTCCAGAAGGTTGGAAAAATTAATGAGGGATTTTCTATGGGACCTAGGTGAGGAGAAAAAGGATCATAGGATTAGGTGGGATTTGGTGAGCAGAAGCAAAGAATGTGGAGGACTAGGGTTAGGGAATATTTAGAAGAGGAGTGTGGCTTTGTTGGGTAAGTGGTTATGGAGGTTTCCCCTAGAGAAATAGAGGTTGTGGGTAAAGATCGTGGAGAGTATTCATGGGCTCGCAAGCAATGGATGAGATGCTGGAATTTTGGCTAGGACTACAAGAGCTTCTCCATGGAAAGCTATTCAAGTTTCTTTGCCTCTCTTCACTCCGTGGACAAGGTACAATTTGCACTCCGGTAACCTCATTAAATTTTGGGAAGAAGTCGGGATTGGGGATTCTCCCTTGAAGGATTAGTTCCCTTCTTAGATAGGGAAAGAAGACTGCTAGAAATTTTGGAGCTGATTCAGATCAGAGCGGTACACTGGCTGAAGTCTTTGGCTCTTTTTAAAGACTTTTCAGAGGATGATTTGCTCAGAAATTGGAAGGAAATTGCAAGTTCAGCTCCGGTCAAAGCACATCCTTAACCTCTTGGACTCCTCCTCCCAGTGGTTTTGTTAAACTTAATTTTGATGGAAGTAGCATGGGTAATCTGGGTCCATCAGGTATTGGGGGTGTCTTAAGAAGTGAGGAGGGAGTGATAATTGCTCTCTTTTCGGGGGCAATTGGTTTGGGTGATTCTCTTAAAGCTGAGATTTCAACTGTTATTGAAGGAACTCAAAGGGAAATTGAACTGAAAATCACCAATTTGGTCATAGAAGGCGGTCTAAACTGGTAGTGGATTGGCTGAGAAATGATACTGCTAATTTTTGGAACTACAGCAATGAGAAGAGGAAATTTAATTGGTTAACCAAGAACATTGAGGTGAAGTTGATTTGGGTTAAAAGCAGTGCTAATTCCTTTGCTGATGGATTAGCTAAACAAGGGGTATATAAGGACTCTTTGTTCTGGGCTATCTTGTAATTGTTCTCTTGTTTTGTTGTTTTGATTAGGTGAGTTTAGAGTGTTTATCTCCCTCTTCTTGTACCTGTGCTTTTTCTCTTCTAATTTTAATAAAATCTGTGAGTTACTGATAAAAAAAAAGCATGAGAGGGAGAAGAGTAGTAACCAGAGAACTCACCAGATAGGCCAATAGCAGAAAAGGCATATGAGGTAGCAGAGGATACTAGTTGCCATATTTTTTCCTTATTCATGGGAGTAGAAGATTCACCTTTGGCAGTAGAGGCATCGGTTGTCTGACCCTCAGACACCTGATAAGCTTGTGGTTGATTCTTCTTCATAGTACCCTTGGAGGGACAAATTGGGCAGTCTGGAATGGTATGACCATGCTGTTTGCAGTAAGTGCATACATTCTTCTTCATGTAGTGTGAAGCTATATGTCTAAACCCCTTACATTCATAACGTTGGGCCTTTGAAAAATCCTTTCCACCAGATTTCTTATTCCTGTGTGCAATGAAAGTAGTCTCAGCCCTTGAGTCAAGTTGCCTCCCCTCTATGTTTGTAGCAGTCATGAGTCTGGTTTCTTCCCTCAACAACTCTTCCATCATAGAGTCTAAATCTAGAAGGGTACCTCTACTCAAGATATTAGACCTGATTATTTCATATTTAGGTCTTAGTCTCATAAGGAACTAGTTCTTTTCTATTCTAACAATGCTTCTGTAGATACTTAACACACTTTGGGGTATCAGAGGGGTCAGTGTTAACCAGTTCATCTTCTACCCATCAGTGAAGCCTGCATAGTACTCCTGTATCTTTTTATCCCCTTGGCAATAGGCAAAGATCTCAGACTCAATCTGATATTATCTTGACAGGTTGGACTGATGATAAACCTTCTTCAAAGGAAATACATCTCATAGGCTGTTCGCAATCTTCTCATGGGAACAGAAATGTGAGGTACAATGGACCTTAGAATCCAGGAGACTAATTTCCCATTGTCAAGTTTCTATTGTGTAAAGGCCTTAGTGTTTGTTTCATCAGGTTTACTAACTGTTCCATTCAAATAGCCTTCAAGACCCTTTCCTTCAACAAAGAAGTTGAATGGAACTTCCACATACTGTAGTTGATTCCATCAAACTTCACTGTAATAACTTTTACCTTCTCAGCCATTTCAGTCCAAGAAAAATAGTCCAGAGAAACAAATTACAGCACTGGTATTTAATTGCCAAGCTTGTTAATCACTACACTTGATTCCAGAAACAATGCAAATGCTGAAATCAAGACCCCAACATCCAAACAAATGAATTTCTCATAATAAAAAAAACAGCAAGCAATACAGAGAAACAGCAGAAAAACCGGTCCAGAGGATATGTGTAATCACCCAACTTCAGTAGCACAGTCTAGAAATGTTTCTCTCTATAGAGGAATTGAAATCCTCCAAGAAAATGCCAGAACAGATCCAACTTGGTAGTTCCTAGTGTTGACAGTCAACTCAGTAGTGTTTCAGGCTGCCAAACTGAAGAGAGGAATAGAATCGCCCCAGAACTGATTTAGAACTTCAGCAGAGCAGTTGAGTAGTAGGAAATCCCTAGGGCGATACCAAATCTAGGGTCCAAGAAGAAGAAAAACAATCTGAGTGAACAGAAGAGGGGATTCGCCAACCTGGTGTGTGCAGGTTTTCAGAAACTGCCACCCTAGAGAGGAGAACAGAACTCCCCCAATACTTGTCCTCTTTCACTGTAACTTTCTGAATAGGTAAACTTGGTCTGGGTGACACAGCCAGTAAATTTTCACTTCAAACATAAGCCTTTCCGGAGAGTTCTGTTAGGTCTTCTCTTGCTGAAATTGCAGAACAGGGTAACCCAGGTTTAGGGCTGATCAAAACAACCCTATCTTCAGTTGATGAGTCCAGAGACCTGCAAGCTTGAGAAATTAGTAAGTGAACATGTCGCACATACAGTCTATAGAGCAACCTGCTCTGATACCATGCCATACAACCAGTTCGTACAAGAGAAGAAAACACAGTTCTGGGGTGAAAAACTGAATCAATCGACCCCACCCCAAGAGCCAGCTATATATATATATATATATATATATATATATATATATATGAAATAAAAGATATTTACAGAAAAGCCCTTACAGGACTAAAGAAGAAAATAAATATTTCACAAAAGCCCTCATAGGACTAAAGAAGAAAATAACAAGAAGGAAAATACAATACAACAGGGACTACAGAATATGATACATCATTCCCTTCACAAGGGGATGTTCCCCTTTTCATTTGTATTTATACTGGAGTGCATCAATTACATTTAAGCCCCTTAATACAACTATACAAGAAACATATAAAAGGACAATAATACCCTCAATTAAATAGACTACTCACACAACAGCACTCTCATACATTTACACCAATGGAAATGGAATTTGCACTGCAAAGTGCAAACAAACTGAGCCTTATTATCATTTATAGAAATTTCTTCACCAGTAATGCTATTGTCAAAAAAATAATTTGATCTTTATTCTTCTGGATTCTAGTTCTAGTTTTATTGAGTTGTATATATAGACTACTCACACAACAGCACTCTCATACATCTACACCAATGGAAATGGAATTTTCACTGCAAAGTGCGAACAAACTGAGCCTTATTATCATTTATAGAAATTTCTTCACCAGTAATGCTATTGTCAAAAAAATAATTTGACCTTTATTCTTCTGGATTCTAGTTCTAGTTTTATTAAGTTGTATATAATTTTAACAAAAAATCTATTCACCATTAATGCAATCATATTGCCTTTATTCTTCTGGCTTATTGTCCTAGTTTTATGAAGCTGTATATGATTTTAACCTAGACATTTGCATTTCTCTTACAGAAACACAGGCCCTGAAGGGTGGAGATTGAGGCAACGACATTTTGAGACTGTGACATCCCTTGTTCGATCCTGCCGGAAGTTCTTTCCGGCAGGCTTTGCATCTGAGATATGGTCTGAATTTAGGTAACTATTCTGTCATCATTGTTTCCAAAATATTTCAATTGGCATGAAGTGGCATTTAGTACATAAGGATGTTGAGGAGATTAATCAATTAATTGGTGAAGGCTTATGCTTTTATTCTGAATGTTATCCTAAATTCCCCTTTTTTAATGCAACCTTGCAGTTACCTTTTTTATTTTTTTTTGATTAGCAAATAAGTCTTTATTAATTTCAATGATAATGTTAAGGTACAAGAGATAGGTATCAGCACTGCAATAACCCAAGCTACAAACTATTACAACATTGCCCAGAACAAAGTAGGTCTATCTGCTCCCTGTTTTGCTAGGGTATCCGCCAAACCATTTGCAGTCCTTTTCACCCAAACAACCTGATAATTGAACCTCCTTGCAAGTAGGTCAATTTCCCTAAAGATAAATTTTAGCTTCCAAGTGCTGAAGTGATTTGCTTTGCCCAAGAAATGAACAGTAGTGAATCTCCTTCAATTTCTAAATCTGTTGCCCCGATCCACTCAGCCAGCTTTAAGCCTTGTAGGAGAGCCATAGTTTCAGTCTGAATTGAGTCACCAATACCTATTGGTCCTGAGAATAGTGCCGCAACTTCTTGATGATTTCTAAACACACCCCCTATACCTGCCCTTCCTGGGTTGCCAAAGGAACTCCCATCAAAGTTTAGTTTTAGTTTATTTAATGCAGGTGTTTTCCACTCCACTCTCATGATTTCTTTTGGTACATCTGTTTGTGCCACTTCGTTTTAGTTCCTGAGAATGTCATTTGTGGGGAAGTTCTTGAATAGTTCCACGGTCATCACGCAATGAGCAGCTCTGATTTTTATGGCTTCAATGACTTCCTCCTTTGATCTGTATTTTTTCAAAGAAAATTCTTTGATTTAGAAGAAAAATAGCCTTTGAGAGAAAAGGACTGTTTAGAAAGATGCAAAAAGTCAAAAGAAAATAGCAGAAATCAGAATTCTAGAAGGGAGAAGATGAAGAAGAAGATGGCGGCAACTAGGGTTCAGAGAGAGATATTCGAACATAATCTCTTCTCTTACACCCTTAATTCTATTTTACTAAGTTAAACTTTGGTAATTTACAGAGAAGCCCTTAGTTGG